ATATATATTTGAATTATCGCATTTACCATTGATAAGGAATGTGTTCTGAAGAGAACCTTTACATTTTCCTATTAAAAAAAATATTCCATTTTATTTTATTTATAAAACTTAGATGGCCCGTTTATTTCCGAAAGCAATTTTATGAAGGGTGCAGAAACATACCAGAGAAGCAAGGGTTCCACCTATTAACAGCAAAATTTTGATTGCAAGATATTGTAACAACAGATGGCAAAGGGAGCTGTGGATAGGTGTTAGCCGATATATGACAAACTGGAGAGTTAGACAAGAACTTCATTATCATGCACACTTCTTCAGTAATGGGAGAAAACATCATAGGGCTCTATTTTCAAAAAGAGACATTATCATGATGGTTATAAAGTGAAGATAAAAAAAAACATTACTGACAGATAGAATTTTCTCCAATTCCTTTAATTTCAAATTTTCAAAAAAATAAAATAAAAAAATTATTTTTTATTTTATTAGTAATAATAAGTTTTTAATCCGTAACCTGCACAAACGTAACAAATAATTAAAATATGAATGAAATGAAAAAAAATCACTTATTATTAAATAATAGATTAAAGTTAAGGAAATTTAAATGACTAATATATCTATAAATCAATAAAATAAATAAAATTTATGGATATTGACTAATTAATTGAAAAGACTGGAACTAAAAGAGCATTTTATTAATCTCTAACTGATATTGTCTTAAGACTTCAAGCTAAGACTTTTAGGGATGAAAAAATCAAATTTGGATATATCTATGTTGGCAAGAAACACGTTTAAGAATGAATTATGAATAGATTATCAAGTTCAATTATTTAATATTAAGTAAAATTATAAATATTAGAAAGTTTCAGAAAATGATAAAGCACTAGTCAAAAACAAATGCTACGAGTTAAAATTTTCATAGAGTGATTCATAATTCAGCCAATTTAAACAACAACAAAAATATATGCAATTGTTTTACTCACAATGTGCATAGCTGAGCTTCTTGGTGGATGAGGTTCCATTAGTAATTGTGAAGGTGTTTGCCCAAAGTTTCTAATTTGATTTTCAATTGCCTAAAACAGGAATATAATACAATGACTAAAAGGTTTGTTTTAAAAATGAAAATTAAGTTTTACTCATGCTTACTAAAAGGTATTTAATTTCAATTAGGCATAATTAACTGACAATAGAAAATTAGAAACAAAATTACTCACCTCTTTCATCACTTGATCCTTCATGTTTTCAAGATCAACACTTCCTTCATAAGTTAAATAATAAAAGACATTTGTCGCTCTGACAGCTTCAGGTCCTGAAAAAAAAATCATTACTGTCTACCAATTCAAATCAAACATTTAATTCAAGCAAAGCATTTAATCTATCATTAAAAAATTTATTAGACAACACCATATATATAT